TAATACTTCCTTAACATGGTACAATATTAAAACTGTCTGCTCATCCTGACATTTGACAAACAAAACCATCTACCTGACTCGTCTTCTGTCAAATTTTAGGAACCTTGAAAAAAATGGATACAGCAAAGCAGAGACCCTTCTAAATATTTCGCTCCGCGTGAAATATTTCTAGTCCTTCTAAAGTTTTTTTTCCAGAGGAGGCTATTCACTGTAGTCTGCAAAGTTTTTCAGGGTGCTGCTTAATACACAGGAAAAGGAATAATTTTGCAGTTATGTCCATCGAAGAGGAAAGAAAAATAATCATTTAAATTGCTTCAGAGGTGAATTATAAATCTTTTGATTTTTGGAAACCAATAAGCAAATTTTTACCGCATAGGTCTAGTTGGAGATGTCACTAGCATATGCAAGTAGCTAAAATATTGCATATCAGCGTTCGACACTGCGAAGCTGCCAAAAGAACACAGCGCTTGATCAAGAAACAAAAAATAAATAAATAACTGATTCTAAGCCAGTTTGCCTAACAATTTTTTTAATTGGTTTTCGAATTGATGCCGAATACTGCTGATGCGCTTTGTTAAATTATGTAAACGCTTAATCAATTCAAAAACTGTTGCTTGGCATATGTATATCTATGGAAGATGTGTACGCCTTAATGTAAAGAAGACTTCATTGCAATACCGGCATTGAAACATCGGAACTACGATCGCAAGTTTTATAAGCAGTTTTATGAATTTACAATTTTTGCCAAACGTTTTAGACCTCAAAATGGTTTTTATCTAACAGCCTACCGTTTAGCGCCTCTTTTCTCGTCACCGTAGTCCCTCTTCAACTCTTCGAGATCGCCAATCAGCTTCCGGAATGACCTACACAGGATAATGCCTTTAAAATGATAGCTTTTAAAAAACTTTAGCATTACTCTCGATCTAACGTGAGAACCTCGACGCCGGGGTCCAAGGCGATGACAGACGCAGTTCGAACTTCGTCCCTAAAATTGCCGAAAAGTCAGTATCGAAGGTTTCGAGTCATCATCAGAAGTTTGTTACCCTAGCAAGGCTTTTTCGCCGAAAAAGTCTCCCTTCTTCAGCTTTCGAATTTCCTGCGGCTCATCCACACCCTCGATTAGTTGCGTGACTTTCACCTGCAGAAAAAAAGCAACTGGATAAGGACAAGCGTTATGGGCGAAGGTAGGAATGCCAGCAGAAATGACTTATTCTGAGATCAACGCTTAGCATAATCACGACCTTGTGCATCATGATTAAGAGGTTGCACGAACCGTTGCTCCTTAGACAATATTTATATTCATTACCACTGAATTAAAACGCTATTCTAATTAACCTTCAATTAAATTAAGCAATTATTTTCAGTCGGTTTTGGGACCAAGAATAAATGAATCGTAATTTTTCTATGATACCATCAAGAATAAGAGAGTTCCATGTTGGACTAATCAAATCAGAAGTCTTACTCAACCTGAGGGCTATATTCGCGCTATACTAGCGTTCTTTTTTTCAAGATCACATAACGGACCGGCTGGCTAAAAGATTACAGTGCGATCATCTTTCCAGAAAAGACAAAAATAGATTAGAACGACTAGATTCACCTCATAATAACATTCGTTGTTCTGGAGCATATGTTTAACTGGGAGGATAAACAGAAGGCCTAAATCTTTCATCTTTTCTATCCTTTAGCATGTCGAAGAAGGACCATGAGGTAAACCGTACGGACGTTCCAGACTGTATCTCAAAGACAGTTTTCAAGGTAAGATAATATGAAAGATGATAACCTTCGCATGATTAAGTATGTTTCATGCTGAAACACGTAATGTCTCGTTGCCATAATGAAATGTTTTTTCGAGCAGACAACAGATTAAGCAACGCGAAAACTGTCATTTTTCATCCGTTCGTACAGTGAAGATGATCCTCCTGAGACATAAATCGGTTTGCACCTGACAGACAGGCTTTATTGCAAGACGAGGTGAAAGAAGACAGCTTTTTGGAGACTACGTCCATTATGTGATAAAACTCAACAAATGCCGATATTGTGACTAGTCATTACATGTCCAAGCACATATCTCATGGCTAAGAAGCCCAACAGTTCTCGGCAACGTGTCATATCTAAATTCAAATGACCTTTTTAAGGTCAAACACTACAAGTCTGAGGTTTTTTACTCAAAGTCTGACAGGGCTGCGCAAAGAAAGGTTCAGAGGGTGGCTGATCATGTCTGTCCTTTTGATAACAGCACATATCGCTCATTGTGTCGGAAGAGCGATTACGGGTAATCACCGGACAAACTACAGTATTGCGTTGTGCAGAAAAAATCGTTTTCTTACATGTTCATTTCATTTTGTATATATCAACAACCTTCCTCGAACAAGCAAAAACCTTGTATATACGGAAAACACCACACTGACTACTGAAACGTCAAAATATTAAAGTACAGTTTAATCAAAGATAAATGATTACCGTTCCACTGCTGATAACGAAGAAAGTGTCGCCCTTTTCACCCTCTCGTATGATGTAAGTACCTTCGGCGTAATAGTCCTAAGCAAAGAAACAAACGAATGGTCATCAGGCGCTTTATATAAGTTAAGACGTTGAATTCCGATCTCGAACAAGCGCCTACCAAGTCTAAGCAATCAGCGATCTTGCTGAATCGGTCTTCGGACAATTTTCGGAAGAGGGGAACTTCGTGAAGGAAGTTCATCAGCATTTCGTGCCGCTGCAACCCGAAGCGCATGGTGATCATTTGAAAGACAGCACGGTCCAACACCCACAGTTTAACGGGGACGAGCGCTAAAACACCGATTAGGTCAAAGTCACAAAAAATATCTGCGCGATTATCACCGTACCTTTCACCGATGCGGTGCGAGTGCAGTTATACAACAACGCTAGCTCGCCAAAAATTCGACCAGGACCCATTTTGCCGAGGATCTTCTCCGCTTTTGAAACTTCCAGTTCGCCTTCTAAAACAAAGAAAAATTACAGATCAAAAACAAACGACGTTGTGATGCAAGTAAAAATAGTTTTGAATCTGTTTAACAAAATCAAATGAATGTCCTCAGAATCTCAACAAAACCAGCAGATTTTAAGTTTCACGTAATGCACAGCACAGCGAATAATCTGCGACAGTTTGAAGTGTGAAGTGTTGTCTTCGTGTTTGCTACACAAACAAGACATGGTACTGATCGATACATAGTTGGGTAAAGCAGTCACCGGAATTTTAAATGCAGTCTGGGGAAGGAGCACCTTTTAGAGCTTAAAGCAGCTCTCTAATATCATTCAATTATGGTTGAAGTGGGCAAAAATGACGGCAAAATGAAAAAAGCTCATGAACTTCGATTAAACACTGATAGGCGTATGGTTTCTCTGGAAGAAGAAAGATTTGCATTACTTCCATGTCATACATTGAACTATTTTTGACGAACGTAATAACAGTCTAGCATGTCAATTACTTTCTCATGGGATATACATTAGTTGGGGTCTAAAACAGGAATGCTGAAACATGAAAGCTATTTGTTTTCAGGACAGACGTGGATTTCACAGAGTATACTATCTTCCTTTTTTTACCCCTTTTCGCGCCCTCTTCGCCCGCGTATGGTATTACCACTCGCTAGTTGCATGCTTGGAAATCTTTGATTCAGAAGAGAGTACAAATGCACCAGTTGAAGCAAGCTAATACGCCCGAAATTGCTAGATCTGTCAATGCTGGACTCGGAACCGAGAGGTCACGAGTTCGAGCCCCTGTCCAGTCATTGACCTTTCTTCTTTCTGACGCTGATGTATGAGTACCAGTCGGTGGGAAGGAAACAGGACACAACACATTACGCTTGCAACATTACTGTAGACTGTACATTTAAAATAAAAACTGGAAGTCAAACGAGCGAAACATATAGAAAGCGATGTCGCGATACATACATATATGTACGTGTGTATGTATGTATGTACGTATGTATGTATGCATGTATGTATGTATGTATGTATGTATGTATGTATGT